ATTGTTCATCAACCAAACAGGAGGTAATGACAGTCTGTGTTTAGACTAGATTTGTAGTATATTGTTCATCAACCAAACAGGAGGTAATGACAGTCTGTGTTTAGACTAGATTTGTAGTATGTTGTTCTTCAACCAAACAGGAGGTAATGACAGTGAGACTAGATTTGTAGTATGTTGTTCATCAACCAAACAGGAGGTAATGACAGTCTGTGTTTAGACTAGATTTGTAGTATGTTGTTCTTCAACCAAACAGGAGGTAATGACAGTCTGTGTTTAGACTAGATTTGTAGTATGTTGTTCATCAACCAAACAGGAGGTAATGACAATCTGTGTTTAGACTAGATTTGTAGTATGTTGTTCTTCAACCAAACAGGAGGTAATGACAATCTGTGTTTAGACTAGATTTGTAGTATGTTGTTCTTCAACCAAACAGGAGGTAATGACAATCTGTGTTTAGACTAGATTTGTAGTATGTTGTTCTTCAACCAAACAGGAGGTAATGACAATCTGTGTTTAGACTAGATTTGTAGTATGTTGTTCATGGACCAAACAGGAGGTAATGACAATCTGTGTTTAGACTAGATTTGTAGTATATTGTTCTTCAACCAAACAGGAGGTAATGACAGTCTGTGTTTAGACTAGATTTGTAGTATATTGTTCATGGACCAAACAGGAGGTAATGACAATTATGATCGTCAAGTAAAGGGCAACATTCCAGAAATGATATCAGCAGTTTTTTTGTATTCTTTGAAGAGTGCATCTGCCTAAGAGGCTAGGAACCGAGAGTATGCTTACAAATCAGTCAGATTTTTGAAGTCTGAGTGCATCTGCCTAAGAGGCTAGGAACCGAGAGTCTGCTTACAAATCAGTCAGATTTTTTAAAGTCTGAGTGCATCTGCCTAAGAGGCTAGGAACCGAGAGTCTGCTTACAAATCAGTCAGATTTTTTAAAGTCTGAGTGCATCTGCCTAAGAGTCTAGGAACCAAGAGTCTGCTTACAAATCAGTCAGATTTTGTAAGTCTGAGTGCATCTGCCTAAGAGGCTAGGAACCGAGAGTCTGCTTACAAATCAGTCAGATTTTTGAAGTCTGAGTGCATCTGCCTAAGAGGCTAGGAACCAAGAGTCTGCATACAAATCAGTCACATCTTTTAAACGGATGTGCAGATTCTGGAACAAGACTAAAGTCCAGAGATGGATGAACACCCAGAAATTTCTGCCAGAGTATACTGCCAGTGAATGTGAATGAATTGATGAACTGTTTTATGGGGAAGTGAATTTGTGTTACTATGTCAACACACACAGTTTTTCGTTAAAGCTTTAAGGTGCCGAAGATTTTTCATAGAAATCTTCATTATTTTCATTTTAAAGCTAAAGCAGGCTAGATGTGTTGTATAAAAGTAAAGATGTGTTGTATAAAAGTAAAGATGTGTTGCATAAAGGTAAAAATTTTGTTAAGTTGCCATTAGATTAGCCAGATTTCCTTTCTTTCCCTTAACCGGAACAAAACGTGAGAGGATGTTTGGAGTTCACTCAAAGAGAATCTGTTCTCACAGTTTGCATTCCTTGGGACTAAAAGAGTTCATTTTGGTCCATATGCTCTATAAATCTGTTTGGATACCCAGAAACTGTTATCCCTTCTATACATCAGCTAATACAGTATGCTGGTATATAAAGTTCATTATCATTATCAGCCAGAATAGGCTACTTGTTAATAGAGGTGGACGCTGATAGACCATGATTCCATGACTTTTGGGAAACTTGGGTTTGAAAACTTTTGCAACTAATGCATTAACTCTTTCAGGCCCATGAATTTTGACAGACTTGGCTTGCATTAATTTTCTTTTACACAAATGGCCGCGAGGGGGGTGTAAATAAAAGACAGTTGAGAATGTAATATAATTCTGATCCTTTGTAAGAATCTGTTGGGTGCACATGTGGGTGACTGTCGCATCCTGTGCAAATGAAATGTGTCTCCTGGTTTTAACTCATCAAAACTATAGATTTTCTAACAGCTGCCTGCTCAGCTATAATTGATGTAAATTCACCTTTTGAATCACTCTCCCCAAAAAAAAAAATGTTTTATCATTATTGGAATTAAAAAAACATCTCAAATGAAACAATTTCATAGCTTCAGCCACAGAAAACCTGGGCTTGTGTTCGGAATACTGGAATACATGGCCAGTCGAGGGGGAAATTGGGAAATTCACTGTCTTAAAATGATGCTAGCAATTTATCGAATACTAAATATAGGAACAAAGACTGTAGACAAAGCAAAAACATTAGAGTAACCTTCCCTGAATATTTTAATGGTAGTTCCAAACATTAGAAACGAATGCGGAGCAGTGTGCGACTCAGTACATGTGAGATGTATAATCCATGCAGACTGTGTGGTTTGGTCAACTCAGTACATGTGGGATGCATAATCCATGCAGACTGTGTGGTTTGGTCAACTCAGTACATGTGGGATGCATAATCCATGCAGACTGTGTGGTTTGGTCAACTCAGTACATGTGAGATGCATAATCCATGCAGACTGTGTGGTTTGGTCAACCGCATCTTCTCAACCAGCACACACAGAGTTGTGAATGCATGACAGATTTAATGAACAGGCTGTCAAGAGTCCTAAAATGGCTTGCACCTGTGGGGTGAGGCTGATGTAGAGATGTTCCTCCTCATCTAGCATCTTCTTCTTCTTCTTCATTATCATCTGCTGTTAATCATATAAGGCAATTTGGCATGCTGTACTGTGATCAATCTATCTGTCGCTCTCTTTCTTCCTACCTAACTATCATATCTCCTGGCACATTCGAGCAAATTACATCTCTCATTTACAGCCTACCTTACCTCCACTACTTCTCCACACTCCGTGGGGAAAAAAAAAAAAACGGGCTGATCACAACAACAGATTGTGACGGCCCTGGTTGTCCTGAAAAGGAGCATTGTTTGAGACGTTGTGACCCGGTGTTTGTTTGGCTTTTCCCGGCGGCTTTACAGAACGGCAACCAAGCAGCAACAGGGCACCAGCACAGCGACCAGCACGAGGCAAGCCAAGCGCCAGCAACAGTCAGCTAGTACCCATCGATATCATCGCAAAGAGATCTGGACCACACCAGAACCAAAAACCACAAGCACCACAGTACAGCAAGGAAGCAAAGAACCGGAATATCAGGTGTGACTACACACCACAAATAAAAGGAAATCAAATAAGACAGCCAAGGAACCTTTTTTCATATAGCAGGCCTTCGGGCGGCTGAAAAAGGATCAAATTTGGAATTTTTGTGGGACGAGTTGGAATTGGAACTGTACTGTGGTTTACAGCTAGGCAGCGTTATCTGCGCCTTTCGGCCTAACATCCAGCTTAAGAATGGAGGTGGAGGCGGTCACTGCAGCTTTCCGCTGGCTAGAGAACATGATACACACACACATCGTGATTGTAACTGACTCATAAAGCATGCTGAGGAAGATCAGAACAGGGATGCTTCGTGCAGAGTGTCATGCTTCGCTACGGAGAACGCGGGTGAGGAGTATTGACTGGATTTTTTCACCGGGGCGCGCCGGTCTGTTGGGAAATGAACAGGTGGACAGACTGGCTGGCTCTGTGCAACTTGGTGGAATACTGATACATGATAGGGCAGACATGTTTAGTGCCTTGTGGGAGAACGTGTACGGTTCGGAGTAGCAGATGGATCACCACAGTCTGGTGAAATTGATGGAGGGGGGAGTGACAAGAGGTTCTGGCAGATACTCGAGGCTCAGAGGAAAGGCAAGACGGACGTTTAATCAGAATGCTACTGGCACCATTAGTATCGGTCCTCTTCGCTGCCTACTGAGGATGGGGACGGAGAGCTTATGGAAATGCCCTGTGTGCTGTGATGCCAGTTCTTGTATCAAATCAAATCAAATAAATCGACCCAACATGTCCATATTTAGCAGTTTTCCTAATTAGTTGCCTTGTATGATATGCTTGTTGGGGGGGGGGGGGGGGGGGGTCTCTGTTCTTTTTCCCATCAACATGGGCCCCAGAACCCAAGTGGGAGAAGGGGAATGCGGGACCAAAGCATCTTCTCTGGAACTGTGATGCAGAGGTCTCATTGCCCTCTTCAAAGAAAGGTACCTGTTCAGTAAACAAGACCAGTTACTTAAGCTTCACATCTTCAGAAAAGCTTTGTGATCCTTGGAATGCTGGCCAGGCTGGAGACTCAAGTCTACAGAAAGGCAGCACCACACAGAAGTACTCCCAGGCCTGGGCCTATGTGAGCCTTAGTCTTGAGGCTTCTTCTCCTTGTTCACTTCCTTTTTGAACGCTTCAAGTGTTGACAAAGATATAAGGTTCTGTTTCTTGCTCTTCTGGTCACCTCCACCATAGACATATTGTGTTCTTGTAAAGTTTATCTCATGTAATCTTTCCATCTTGTTTTTCTGACCTCTACATCCAAAAATGTATGTTGACTATTGACATTTTCATTGCTGTATATTTTTATTATTTGGTTGTATAAGTATTTTCAACTGTTTTTAAATTATGAAATTGATAATGTCACAAAAGTTTCAACGTGTAAAGTGTATAACATAAAGAAAATGAAATATCCAGCCATATTTTCACTATATACTGCCTGTCTCTTTCTTATTCTTTTACCTATTTCTACGCCCCTCTCACTCGCTCTGTCATTGTCTATTAGATATTTTTGTCTGTTATACATTTTCTTAGTCACTCTCACCTTCATTTACAACTTCACTTTGTCATACATTTGTTTTCTGTCATTTTCTTCCATCTTTTTCTTCTTTTCCCCCCCCCCCCCCCCCCCCCCAAACTCTTACTTATCCTCACTCCATACTCTTGCATTATCACTTTATTGCCTGAATTTTTCTACCAATATTTAAGCAAAGAATAACCTAGAATGTTGTGGTACTAACCAGCATGGAGACATTCCATGCAGCAAACATGCACGCATGCTTGCTTTGTTAACATATAACCTATACATGTTTGTATTTTGTTCTGACAGCAATCAGTGGACCAGATAACACTGACAGATCAGATGAGCCAGATTGAAGAACTAATTCAAGAAAGAGACAAGTTTAGACAAGAGGTGAGAAGTCATGCTGTCTTTGATACTGAGCTACTAGTTTATCGGTGATTGATTAAAATCACATGTCCTATTGTACACCTCAAGACTTATGGGACAAACACACAGAAATCTGTTTTTTGAGGGACAGTTCCACAGAGTCAGTTGTCCAGCAGAGTTGTTAGTCAGTCATTTTAGAATGCTAGTGTACAATCTCAGACTTCTATATATGTGTGTGCATCCGCACATTCATAAACGAGGAAGCTTCTGTATGTGTGTTTATCCGCACATTCATACACGAGAGGCGATCAAACAGTTTTCCACTTCATTTTCAGCAGTGTTCTTCAACTTACAATTTTACCCCTGCCCCCCAACCATCCGCAGACCAGTAAAATTGACGAAATTGTTTGGTGGATCATCTGAGGGCTGAGCAAAAATAAATACAGTAGAAACCAAAGTAAATGTAGATAGCAAGTTATTTACTCAGCCCGGTCACATAAGGTTAAAGTAGATAGCAAGTTATTTACTCAGCCCGGTCACATAAGGTTAAAGTAGATAGCAAGTTATTTACTCAGTCCCGTCACATAAGGTTAAAGTAGATAGCAAGTTATTTACTCAGTCCGGTCACATAAGGTTAAAGTAGATAGGAAGTTATTTACTCTGGCTGGTCACATAAGGTTAAAGTAGATAGCAAGTTATTTACTCAGTCAGGTCACATATGGTTACAAAAGATAGCAAGTTATTTACTCAGTCCGGTCACATAAGGTTACAGTAGATAGCAAGTTATTTACTCAATCCAGTCACATAAAGTTACAGTAGATAGCAAGTTTTTTACTCAATCCGGTCACATAAAGTTACAGTTTTCAGCTGATGTGATATCTGCTGATATTTAGAGGTTGTAAAAGCTGATGTAGTAAAATAAGTAAAGGACCCTTTTCTGAACCTTCAGGTGTATTTGACATATAGGGCTTGACCTATATTTTATAGAGCAATGGTCACTTGGTGTATGAAATGGTCAACACTTTGCCGGTCATCTTTACTTCTCAGGACTTTGCCTGGTACCCATCTAAGACTAGGTCGACCTGAGAGCAGGGTCATTTTGACAAGAAAAAAAGTCTGGCTTCATCAGGACCCCTGCCCTCCACCTTCAGATCCATAGGTGTGATTTTTAGGGCTGTATTCGCTTCGGGGCCGAATAGTGGACCCAATAACTATTCGGTATTCGGCCAAATAGTTGCGGTCGGGCCGAATACGAATAGTGGTTACCTTACAACCGTTTCTGGACTGGTGGAAAAAAAAAACATCAAGATTTCCCACCTTGGTTTATACTGGGAAGCGTTATCTTTGTGCATCACCTACGAGCGTACCAAGTGCCCCTTTATTTCCATCTTGTATGTGTTGCGAGTATAGTGTTTTAGGTGTCTTGCTGTAGAAACAAAATGCAACACTTAAAAATGTAAGAGGGGCAGAAAAGCAAGTGTTCTAGTGTTGTCGGCTTGATTTCTTTGAGTGGAGTGTCCTCTTCGTTGATTGTTTGAAGTAACTGGAGTTCGTCATCATTTATGGGTGTCGTAACTGTTCTTTCGTCGTTTCGTAGAAACGGCAGTGGCTGAATGTTTTGATCGACGTTCGTTTTCTTCGTTGTCTTTGTTGTTTGATCTTCTGGCGTTGGCCGCCCGGCGTCTGGTTTCGTGAGCTCGCGGAGGGCTGGGCGGCTTGTAAGGACGGCATTGTTTTCTTCGTCGGTGTTATTTTTGGTTTTGATGTTTCGCCTTGCGGGTTTTCATTTTGACTCTCTGTATTTGTCGTATTTTCCTGTTTGATACAGCTGGAAATACCTTCAGTGAGACAAAAAGCTGGCCTAATGCTGACAACATGGAATGAAGGTTTTTCATGGAGGTGTGTCAGCACACGAACTAATACGTGCTGCAGGAGATCGCAGATTGTGGCAAGGCATAATCGCCCATGCCAGCCGGCAAAGCAAATGATGATGATGATTCACTATTCGTATTCGTATTCGGCCGAATAGTTGGTCCAGCTATTCGTATTCGGCCAAATAGTGAAAATCACTATTCGGTACAGCCCTAGTGATTTTAGCCACTAAACCACAGCGGCTCCAATCTGTTAAAGTGGCTCGGCAGTTATTTCTGGTATTTGATGCACTGCACCAGTTTGATTTCTCTGTTTGGTTTTTATTGTTATTATCTTGTATCCCCTCTGTTTGTATTCATCCTATCTGTTCTTCAGCCTTCTCATGGCCTAGATATTGAACTCGTGTGTGTGTGGAGACAAAATCATGCCTCCTCTCCAGTTCAATAATAAGGTCTAGATCATCTGAAGAAGTGATGTCCCAAAAGTGGGTTTTTACCAGACTTGGTACAGAGTGACTTTATCCTGTTTCCAAACTTCATAGACGTCATTTGTAACCCCTATTTCTGTAGAGTCACCAGCTGTAAAGAAAAGGTCAGCCAGAGATAAATGGAGGCAGGTGATATCTGCAGCAATGAACCTCAGGGCTCGGAATGTTGAAGACGAAGAAGAATTTCCGTATAAATGTTTCTGATGGCTGTTAGTTATATCTTGGTGCAAAGAATAGCAAATGAATGATCCACTCTATCATACTGATATTATTTATGTCATACTGGCTAGAGTAGCGTCTAGCTGAACAGTTGAGAATCCTGGGCTCCTGTGTGGGAGACCAAGGATCAAATACTCTATGTTTTCTTTTTCTGGCGGGGGCAGAAATAAATTCCTAACCTGTGCAGTCCATGGGGACAGTATTGGACCTGCAGCCCTAAATCCTCAGGCTCAGTACAGCCCCCCCCCCCCCCCCCCCCCCCACTCCACCCCGCTCCCCTTTTTACACTGCAAAAGTGGTAAAAACAAGCGGTAATTACAGTTTCTGTGTGTGTGTGGTAGTTTACAGGCTAGATGCTTGCTTGCCTGCCCATATGTTTTGGGTTCAAATCCAAGACAGATTTTGATACACACTGATGAATATTGTCATCATCATCAGGTACCTTGCCGACTGGCATAGGCGATCATGCCTCTCCATAATCTACGATCTCTTGCAGCATGTATCAGTTTCGACACACCTCCATGCCATGCAACAAGACTGTCGAGAATCTTCTCTCTTCATAAACATTGTATAAATATAAAACAAAATGGAACCAAAAGTGTTCACACTATAAGAATAAAGATATCCCTGTGCTAATTAAAAAAGCAATGGCTTTCTTGGCCTCTAAACACTTTGACATGACTGATATATTATAATTTAAGGTGTTTCTTTCTGGTCCAGGTGTCAGACTTACAGTCCCGTGTCCAGACGTATGATGACACTATGGTGGATAAACACAAGGTGGAGAGGCTGGAGACAAAGGTTCGAGACCTGGAGAGTCGTCTAGAGCTGGAGACCACAACAAAACATAAACTAGAGGTAACACCTTCACATCGCATGTCCAGTATAAGACTAGAACTGTATTATATATATTTTATAGATAGAATAACCCACTGGGATATGGGTAGTTTATAGATAAAATAACCCACTGGGATATGGGTAGTTTATAGATAGAATAACCCACTGGGATATGGGTAGTTTATAGATAAAATAACCCACTGGGATATGGGTAGTTTATAGATAAAATAACCCACTGGGATATACATAGTTTATAGATAAAATAACTCAGTGGGATATGGATAGTTTATTCATAAAATAACCCACTGGGGTATTGATAGTTTATACATAAAATGAGCCACTGAGATGTATTTTATATATAAAATAACCCACTGGTATGTAGATAGTTTATAGATGAAATAGCCCAACAGGGATACAGATAGTTTATAAATAAAATAACCCACTGGGTTATTGATGGTTTGAACAACGAATCAACATCATGACACAAGAGTAGTAACCCATAAGTGCTCTTTTCTACTTCTAACTCAAGCCTGAGTCCGAAGAATCTCAGCGCAATGCATGAACTTCATAGCACCGGCGAGGATCCTGAACTACTTTGGGTTGATTTTTAACTCCAAATTTGGCCCGGGCAGTGCCGTTAGGTTACTCTTTTTAATTTCCAACTGCCAAAGGATGTTTTTTTTTTACGAGCGCAACAATACACATGGGCGTCCGATCTCACTACCCAGAGACCAGAAAAGATTACTAGAAGTCCACATGAAAAAATCCCAGCCTCCCCCCCCCCCCTTTCCCAAGGGAGGGGGGAATATAGTGTATAGATGAAATAACCCACTGGGATTACCTGCAACCGCACATGGCAGAGGTGATGCCTCACCTGCCTGGCGAAGTAACAAGTAAAATGGAAGCTATTGAAAGTCCGCACTAGGAGAAAATGTTGCAGCTGTCGGTGTCCGCGGGCTGTGGAAGCCACTTGAGCCTCGAGGGGAAGGCAAGATAAGTAGTTACCCAGATGACAACTGGTACCGTCAGTACGGACACACTTGGCTGGCTGTTGAGGCGGGAGATGAAGCTAATAGGTCTTGTCGTAAATGCTGGGATATCGAATCTTTACCCAGATGAACCAAGATTATAAATAAATACTATTGCTGTGTGAAAGATTGAGTATTTGCAGGGGCCAAATCTAAGGCAGGCCTGCATGCCCAGTTTGTAATTGTTGGCAAAGAAAATGTGTTCATTCATTATCATAGGTCACTGATAAGCTCAAAACATTAATTCACTGGTGCTTGTTTAGAATAGAGGGAATTTAATGGTATGATAGAATCACTAATATTGAACTTTGTGAGAGGGCTGAACAAATTCCAGTGGATCATGAGGGGAGGAAAAGATGTGCTGCTGGATAGGACACACCTTAAGAAAACCTGAGAACAATATAATTAGAATATTGGAACCCACAGGAGCATAGAAATAAAGACTGTGTTGAGCAGGGAAGGACAGAAGAAGAAGAAGGTATCTTTTAGTAAACTTTTGATTAAGTTTGGCATTGTGTAAACAGAGATGTGCATTTTCTTGTAGCTGTGCCAGTTGACACTTCTCTGAGGATGGCAGTTGGAGTTACGCTGCGGTAGTAAGTACACCACTCCACCTCACAAAAGCCTAGTTTCTATGAGAGAGTTAGTAAGTACACCACTCCACCTCACAAAAGCCTAGTCTTTATGAGGGAGTTAGTAAGTACACCACTCCACCTCACAAAAGCCTAGTCTCTATGAGGGAGTTAGTAAGTACACCACTCCACCTCACAAAAGCCTAGTCTCTATGAGAGAGTTAGTAAGTACACCACTCCACCTCACAAAAGCCTAGTCTCTGTGAGAGAGTTAGTAAGCACACCACTCCACCTCACAACAGCCTAGTTTCTATGAGGGAGTTAGTAAGTACACCACTCCACCTTACAGAAGCCTTGTTTCTATGAGAGAGTCCTAATTGTTTACATTTGTGTTTACACAGAGTCAGGTGAGCAGACTCAAGGAACAGATTGATCGATTGACTACAGAGAAAGAAGACTTGAACCTGGCGAAGTTGTCTGCAGAGGAGGCCAACAAGCGAGTGCAGAAACAACTTAGAGACTTACGAGAAGAATTTGGGGACACTCAGAAACGGGAGCTGGAGGCTTCACAGAAGAAGAAAGAACTGGTGAATATACACATTCTCATGAAGTTAATTAAAATTTTACATTAAAACCTATAAAAGATATGAAAGCTTTTCCACATTGAGTACAGATTTTTCCTCAGTCTTTGAATTTAAATTTACTTTAAATCACCTGGGGAAGTCAGTTCTTGACAGATTGTTTTTTAGTTGCTTTGAAGCAGATACTTGCAAATGATAATCAGAAGAGAAAAAACACATGTTATTGCCATAAATACTGGCCTTTCATAATGAAAGTGAGGTAAGGGACCCTTGTCCACGCCTTTCAGGCTTATTTGGTATGAAGGGCTAGAACTATATTGCAAAGACCAAATGGCACTTGGTGGGTGATGTAGTCAGCAGCTTTTACTTCCCAATACTATACCTGGTACCCACTCAGGGCTGGGTCAACCTGGGAGCCAAGATCATTTTTTTTTTTAAATGCGGTCCTCGTCAGGAACCGAAACCACAACCTTCGGATCTGCAGGCCAGTAGACCACAGCGGCTCCCAACCTTTTATTACGAACACTTGAAATTATCTGCCCTTAAGTACAACCTCCAATGGTGATAACTTAGAGATTCTAGAGGTTCACTATTCTTAACCCTATAAAGGAAATGCCTAAGAGAGTTAATTCACATCGTCTTTCAGTTACATCTGCTATTGGCTTTTTCTGTCTTGTGATAAGATGTGTCCCAGTTACATCTGCTGTTGGCTTTTTCTGTCTTGTGATAAGATGTGTCCCAGTTACATCTGCTGTTGGCTTTTTCTGTCTTGTGATAAGATGTGTCCCAGTTACATCTGCTGTTGGCTTTTTCTGTCTTGTGATAAGATGTGTCTCAGTTACATCTGCTGTTGGCTTTTTCTGTCTTGTGATAAGATGTGTCCCAGTTACATCTGCTATTGGCTTTTTCTGTCTTGTGATAAGATGTGTCTCAGTTACATCTGCTGTTGGCTTTTTCTGTCTTGTGATAAGATGTGTCCCAGTTACATCTGCTGTTGGCTTTTTCTGTCTTGTGATAAAATGTGTCTCAGTTACATTTGCTGTTATCTTTGTCTTAAATTGTGAAAATGATGTCTGTCGGTTGTTTCTCGTGTTATCTGTATCTTTTGAAAAAATATCCCACAGTAACATATTGTGTTACCTATGTCTTTTGGAGAGAGAAAACATCTCCCAGTTATTTATTTTCTTTACATGAAGGGAGGTAATTACTAAAATACAGAGGGACAAACACATAACTGCTTTCTATCCCTTTGACCAAGAACAATATGGTTTTCATCAACGTAGCCACACAGAGGTAAGTTAAATCATCATCAATTTTCTTACCTCAAATAACATCTCAAAACAATTGTTGTTTGGATAAATATACCCACACTCTCTACAGTCTGCATTTGCAACCAGTATGAGAACTGTTGTATATAGGTGTATGGTCCACTGCCCAGATGCTCCATGTCATCATAAACCTTGTAAAAGTAGCAGACCGGCTTTTTTGGGAGGCAACAGGGTCAAGTCCCAGTTGATAATAACCACTGTGGCATGAGTTGATCTCCCTGTGTGGCTTCCAGGGCCCCATGTGGGAGGAACAAACGAATAGGCCCCCACTGTCTCCTGACCAGTTTTTTATAAAAAGCAACTAATTTTTTTGGTGAAATCAAATGTGTTAGGCTGAAAAAGCGGATATTGCAGCCTAGCTGTAAACTACACCAGACCAATCACCCTGTTTAGGGCAAATGCAAAAGGAAGAGAAAAGAATGAGGTAATGCACAAACAAGGCAAGATGCCAGTTTTCTGTAGCTTTGAGTTCAATTCTGCAGGAAACCAGAATCGAGGAGCTCGAAGGAGAATATGAACAAAACCAATCAGATTTGAAATTGGCATTGAAAAGAATCACAGATCTTCAGGCAGCATTGGAGGAAGGTCTTGATAGTGATAGTGATGTCTTGATGTCAGACAGGTCAGTTGTTTCATAATTTAGTCTGTGTTAATGATGTCTTGATATCAGACAGGTCAGTTGTTTCATAATTTAGTCTGTGTTAATGATGTCTTGATATCAGACAGGTCAGTTGTTCCATAATTTAGTTTGTGTTAATGATGTCTTGATATCAGACAGGTCAGTTATTTCATAATTTAGCTTGTGTTTATTATGGTGGTTTGATGTCAGACAGGTCAGTTATTTCATAATTTACCTTGTGTTTATGGTGGTTTGATGTCAGACAGGTCAGTTATTTCATAATTTACCTTGTGTTTATGGTGGTTTGATGTCAGACAGGCCGGTTGTTTTACAATTTAGCCTGTGTTCTTGTTGTCTGGATTTCTGACAAATCAGTTGGTACAGATACCTAGTGTGTGATAGTGATACATTGATGTTAGACAGGTCAGTAGACTAAAGATTTGTCTATGTTAATGATATCAGACAAGTTAGTTGACTGAAGAATTGTGATTGTGTCTATGATAATGTCAGACAGGTTAATAGACTGAAGAATTATGTCTGTGATAATGATGTCAGACTAGTTGGTTGACTGAAGAATTATGTCTGTGATAATGATGTCAGACTAGTTGGTTGACTGAAGAATTATGTCTGTGATAATGATGTCAGACATGTTAGTTGACTGAAGAATTATGTCTGTGATAATCATGTCAGACCACTTGGTTGACTGAAGAATTATGTCTGTGATAATGATGTCAGACTAGTTGGTTGACTGAAGAATTATGTCTGTGATAATGATGTCAGACTAGTTAGTTGACTGAAGAATTATGTCTGTGATAATGATGTCAGACATGTTAGTTGACTGAAGAATTATATCTGTGATAATGATGTCAGACCACTTGGTTGACTGAAGAATTATGTCTGTGATAATGATGTCAGACTAGTTGGTTGACTGAAGAATTATGTCTGTGATAATGATGTCAGTCATATTAGTTGACTGAAGAATTATGTCTGTGATAATGATATCAGACATGTTAGTTGACTGAAGAATTATGTCTGTGATAATGATGTCAGACCACTTGGTTGACTGAAGAATTATGTCTGTGATAATGATGTCACTACATGTTGTGATAATGTTGACTGAAGAATTATGTCTGTGATAATGAAGTCAGACTAGTTGGTTGACTGAAGAATTGTCTGTGATAATGATGTCATAACACTTGTGACTAATTATGTCTGTGACCACCACTTGTTGACTGAAGAATTATGTCTGTGATAATGATGTCAAACCATCTTGGTGGAATGAAGAATTATGTCTGTGATAATGATGTCAGACTAGTTTAGTAGACTGAAGAATTATGTCTGTGATAATGATGTCAGACCAGTTGGTTGAACTGAAGAATTATGTCTGTGATAATGATGTCAGACTAGTTGGTTGACTGAAGAATTATGTCTGTGTATAATGATTTCAGACTAGCGGTGGACTGAAGAATTATGTCTGTGATAATGATGTCAGACTAGTTGGTTGACTGAGAATGTCTTAATATGTCAGACTGTGTGATATGATGAGTCTGTGATAATGACTAGTGTTGGTTGACTGAAGAATTATGTCTGTGATAATGATGTCAGACTAGTTGGTTGACTGAAGAATTATGTCTGTGATAATGATGTCAGACTAGGTTAGGTGGACATGAAGAATTATGTCTGTGATAAATGATGTCAGACTTACTTGGTTGACTGAAGAATTATGTGTCTGTGATATGATGTCAGATAATGGTTGGTCAGACATGTTGTTAATGATGTCAGAATAATCGAAGACTGAGAATATGTCTGTGATAATGATTCAGAATGTTAGTTGACTGAAGAATTATGTCTGTGATAATGATGTCAGACCACTTGGTTGACTGAAGAATTAGTGTCTGGAGAATGAACAATAGTTGGTTGACTGACAACTATCGTCTGTGATAATGGTGAGACACCTGACTGAGAATTATGTCTGTGATAATGATGTCAGACATGTTAGTTGACTGAAGAAATGTGTCCGTGATAATGTTGTCAGACATGTTAGTTGACTAAAGAATTGTGTCTGTGATAATTTGGTCAGTCATGTTAGTTGACTGAAGAATTGTGTCTGTGATAATTTGGTCAGTCATGTTAGTTGACTGAAGAATTGTGTCTGTGATAATTTGGTCAGTCATGTTAGTTGACTGAAAAATTGTGTCTGTGATAATTTGGTCAGTCATGTTAGTTGACTGAAGAATTGTGTCTGTGATAATTTGGTCAGTCATGTAGTTGACTGAAAATTGGTCTGTGATAATTTGGGTCAGTCATGTTAGTTGACTGAAGAATTGTGTCTGTGATAATTTGGTCAGTCATGTTAGTTGACTGAAGAATTGTGTCTGTGATAATGTTGTCAGACATGTTAGTTGACTGAAGAATTGTGTCTGTGATAATTTGGTCAGTCATGTTAGTTGACTGAAGAATTGTGTCTGTGATAATGTTATCAGACTCAGCCAAGTTTGTGCTAATGATGTGCTGCAAGGCAGGTTGGTTGAAGAATTTAGTTTGTACAAGTGATTTCTTTCTGTCATCAAACAGTCTGTGATAGCGATATGTTGATATCAGATATTGTTGACTCCAAAGAAATTTAGTTTGCTACAAGTGATTTTCTTTGTTGCATCAAAACAGTCTGTGATAGCGATATGTTGATATCAGATATTGTTGACTCAAGAATTTAGTTTGTACAAGTGATTTCTTTCTGTCATCAAACAGTCTGTGATAGCGATATGTTGATATCAGATATTGTTGACTCAAGAATTTAGTTTGTACAAGTGATTTCTTTCTGTCATCAAACAGTCTGTGATAGCGATATGTTGATTGTCAACATTGTTGACTCGAGAACCTAGTCTGAATTTATATGATTGGTGGTAGGGTATATGTGGCTAGAATCATTGGTGGTACGGTATATGTGGCTAGAATCATTGGTGGTAGGGTATATGTGGCTAGAATCATTAGTGGTAGGGTATATGTGGCTAGAATCATTGGTGGTAGGGTATATGAGGCTAGAATCATTGGTGGTAGGGTATATGTGGCTAGAATCATTGGTGGTAGGGTATATGTGGCTAGAATCATTGGTGGTAGGGTATATGAGGCTAGAATCATTGGTGGTAGGGTATATGCGGCTAGAATCGTTGGTGGTAGGGTATATGTGGCTAGAATCATTGGTGGTAGGGTATATGAGGCTAGAATCATTGGTGGTAGGGTATTTGTGGCTAGAATCATTGGTGGTAGGGTATATGTGGCTAGAATCATTGGTGGTAGGGTATATGTGGCTAGAATCATTGGTGGTAGGGTATATGTGGCTAGAATCATTGGTGGTAGGGTATATGTGGCTAGAATCATTGGTGGTAGGGTATATGTGGCCTAGAAATCATGGTGGTGTAGGTATATGAGGCTAGAATCATGGTGGATAGGGTATATGCGGTTAGAATCGTTGGTGGTAGGGTATAGCGGGCTTTAGAATCATTGGTGGTAGGGTATATGAGGCTAGAATCAATGGTGGTAGGTATTGTGGCTAGAATCATTTGGTGGTAGGGATATATGTGGCTTAGATCATTGGTGTTAGGGTATATGTGGCTAGAATCATGGTGGTAGGGTAATGTGGCTGAATCATTGGGGTAGGGGTATAGTGGCAAAATCTTTGGGGTAGGTATATTGGCTAGAAATTGGGGGTTTAGGGTTATGGGGGCTAAACTTTGTGGTAGGGTTTTGGGGAG